ACACAAGTTTTTATCAACTTTTTCGTTAATGATATTTTCATTCTTTTGTTCGACCGAGAGAGCTGAAATTTTTATGATATATATAACTAATCAAGATCTATTAGTTCTGAAAGTTTCAGCTGTATAACTATGACTAATGGTAAAATACATAAGTTTTCGTACTCGATTTTTGCTGAAAAATTAGGTAAGAATAAGTCATGAAAGTACTGTTGTTATAATGCTTTTGTAAAAATTAAGATTACCTGATGAAAAACAAATAAAACTAATGCAATTGATTCAATTTTTTAAGAATAGACAATTTAATGCAGTGAAAATGATGCAAAAGTAATGAAAATAATGAGATAATTTTAATGTTTCAAGAATACAGAATTTAATGGAGTAACAATGATGCAAAAATAATGAAAGTACTGTTATTATAATAGTTTTGTAAAAAATCAAGATCGTATGATGAAAATGATGCAAGAAAATGAAACTAATCCGGTGAATTCAATTTTTTAAGAATAGGCAATTTAATGAAGTGGAAACGATGCAAAAGAAATGAAACTGATGCAGTAATTTTAATGCTTCAAGAATACAGAATTTAATGGAATAAAAATGATGCAAAAACAATGAAAGTACTGCAATGATTATAGTTTTGTAAAAAACTCAAGATCATCTAATGAAAATAATGGGAAAAAACTAAAACTCGTGCAATGATTTTTTTTCTGGAATAGACTATTTAATGGAATGAAAATGATGCAAAAACAATGAAAGTAATGCTATTATTATAGTTTTTCAGAAAAATGAAGATTATTTGATGACAATCATGCAAAAAAATGAAATTAATGCAATAATTTCAATTTTTCGAGAATAATCAATTTAAGACAATGAAAATGATACAAAAATAATGAAACTATCGGGATGAGTTTGATTTTCGCGAAATAATTAAAATAACGAAATGTTTTTGATGAAAAGTTTGGAAAAAATCATTTGAATGAAATTTTTTTCATTTTTTTATTCCCTGGGTACTTAGGGCAGTCCAAAAGTAGTGGTCGAGGTACCTTGTTTTCTTATAATAGGCTTATTGAAATTTTCCTTCTATATGAGAAGATAGAGAAAGCGAAGCTTTATTTTTCTATGCTATTTGATCACTTCTCAACTGCTAATATGATAATAAAATTTCAATGAGAACTGTTTTTGGTATAAACATAACTATTAAATTTTATCGTATTTCATCTGTGTGTATTTTATTTTTGATTTTTTCTTTGTTTTTTCTATTCAATTTACCTTCTTTTCTTTTCTTCTCGTCCTTTCTAATGCCTAGCCCTCTATACATGAATACATACTTTTATATATTAAGAGATCTGTTCGGTTCATTTCCGAAGTATGTGAAGTTTAATCAAGTGTTTTCATATGCGCCACTACAATAAAGTAGAGCGTTACGCAGCATTCTAACCCTTTTGTCTTTCGTTCTTCAGTGTCATGGCTGCGATATGACAATATCATAGAGATGTACATGGATATTTTTCTTCTTTTTCGTTCTGTTGATATGCATGAAGAAGACACGCTACATTTCTCTCTTGTTTCTTCTCGTATGTTCAGGTCATTCAAGTGCTTTTTCTCTTTTCCCTTCTGTAGTACTGCTTCTCCAGAAGGTTCATCTCTCTCTACTTTTATCTGACTCATAATCTTCTGGAATGTTCTTGGATAACCGAGCTCATATATATATAGCGGCCACTTTAGAGGTGAGAGTTCAGTTTTGCGCATACTGAGTCTGTAATTACTCTGCGTTAATAAACTATTTGCAAGAAACCATTTGACACAGGTTAAACTTTAACACTACTGATTAGTTTTAAATAGATAAAGAACATTTTCGGTTTTATATTAAAACGCGTACCGCACTTTATATCCCAGCAAAAGATATTCATAATGAACTGTATTCTGTCCATGGTAATCAAGCTCCTTCGTTCAGAACAGCTAAACGATGGAATAAGTGGTTTCATGAAGGTCGGGAACAAGTTGGAGATGAAGCATGACCTGGAAGGCCTATTACCGAAATAACAGATGAAAATATTGAATACGTTCGACTTCTGATTGATGATGATCCTTATATGACAATAGAAGAAATACCGGAACAAACTGGCCTAGGCCACGGCACTACACACCGAATCATCTCCGACCATTTGCAGCTTACAAAGATTACTGCCCGTTATATTCCCAAACATCTAACTGATTTCCAGCGCGCTGAACGAGCTCGGATATGCAAAGAAAACTTTGAAAAGCTTGAAAAAAAATGTGGCGCTTATGTGATGTGGTGACTGGTGATGAGTGGTGATTTTATCACACACAAATTGGTCGAAAATCATCACATACTGCTTGGGTAGCAAAAGGAGATCCTCCACCTACAGTAGTTCGACTCGATAAGTTCGCTCCAAAAACCTTATTTTGCATCTTTTTTTTAAGTCAACTGCTCCCGCTCTTGTTTATCGTATTGAACGCGGACAAATTGTCGACCATCAGTATCACATCCATAACTGTTTAAAACCTCTTGCCAATGAAATCAAGCAGCAAAGGCCCTCATTTGGCACACATGATATTAAACTAATCCATGATAATGGAAAACCCCATGTTCACAAAGCTGTCTTCGATTACCTTGAATCAAAAGGTATCACAATAATACCACATCCACCCAATACTCCAGATCTTGCACCATGTGATTTTTGGTTATTCGATTTAATCAAACGAAATATAGATGATCAAAACGATGCCGAATCATTGCATGATACTGTAACTGTATTCATGCATTCTTTGAATAGAAAAGAGTATAACAAAACGTTCGATAAATGGATGCAACGAATGCAATTGTGTGTGGACAATGACAGAGATTATTTTGAACATTTGGTGAAATAAAAATTTGATGAACTTGTTTCCTATTTCTTTTACTCTACCACTACTGGCTATTATAAACTGCGTGTACACTATATATAGAGGGCTATGTATTAGAAAGGACGAGAAGAAAAGAAAAGAAGGTAAAGTGAATAGAAGAAACAAAGAAAAAATCAAAAATAAAATACACACAGATGAAAATACGATAAAATTTAATAGTTGTGTTTATACAAAAAACAGTTCTCATTGAAATTATATTATTATGTTAGCAATTAAAAAGTGATCAAATAGCATAGAAAAATAGAGCTTCGCTTTCTCTATCTTCTCATATAGAAAGAAAATTTCAATAAGCCTCTCATAAGAAAATAAGGTATCTGAGCAATTACTTTTGGACTGCCCTAAGTATTTTATATCTTATTCTTTTATACAACGGTATTTTTAACTAGTGAAGAAAAATATTTTTTTTATCCTTATTGAATATCAGTGATCTACAGTAAGTCAAAGTTCTGAAAAGATGTTTCTTTTCATGTAAAATAAATAGTATTTGTTCAGCTATTGTATGGTTTTGTTATCTTCTTGCTATTTGTTGTATATTTGATGTTTCATTTAATGGACTTCCGAATAAGAAACCTCAATCAGAAACCATGATTACATTTAAATTTGCCAATCCATAGGATTTACGAGTACATTTTTATCCATTAACAATTTTAATAGCATTACCAACACTACCATTTGTTTATTTATTAACAAAACTTTTCCGTGATGATATTCTGTTATGCACTAATTATCTAGAATTTTTATCGTTTATAATTAATGAGGATTGTGTGAATTAAAGTTTCTATCTAATCTCTAATTTTCATACTTTAGGGTGGTATAACAATATGTTTTCTATTAATAATCACTCATTTTATAAGTATCATTATTCCATTAGTAACAGTATTTGTTCAAAGTCGATTTACTTAAAAACTTTTATATTGATTATTTAACATCATATCACCAACTATAAATTCACAAGTGATGATGACGTATATTTTAGCAAAAAAGAGTCGCTTACGTAGATTTATTACTGATCCACTGGGTATGAGTGATCCTGCATTAACACTTTTTACAGCAATTGGTGATAATACAATTGGTTGGAATTATGAAATACTTGTTGTACAAATATTACTGTTCTTATTAATATTAATTATCATTGATAGCGGCCTATTACAATTATCATTGTCATGTTTATATAAATCAAATTTTGATGAAAATAAACTTGATGATGTTGTTTTAGCTGAACGTCATCGAATATTAAAAACTGAAATGAATCTATAAAATAATCAAGAACATACAGATCATTTAACAGTTAATAATCTTGTTCAATATTATCCAATGCGAAAAGTTTTAGCCGTTAATTACTTAACATTTGGTGGACGAAGTGGTGAAGCTTTTGATTTACTTGGTTAAAATGTAAGTACAAAAAGAGTTTTCAAAGAGAAAAAAAAACTAAAAAATATTTGTACAATATAATAAACAGGGTGCTGGAAAAACGACAACGTTTCGTATTGTTGTTGGCGATTTAATGTTCACAAAAGGTACTGCTTATATTGATGGACAAAATGTTCATCGTCGCATAAGATCAACACGTTATTTAGGTTATTGTCCACAAGAAAATTGTAGTATGGATTTTCTCACTGTTCAAGATAGTCTTTATTTATTAGCACGTATACGCGGTGTTCAACCGTCACGTATAAAATCTATTGTGGGAACAATAAGTTCATTATTTTTACTTGACCCATTTTTGAGTAATTATATGCATGAATTAAGTGGTGGAACAAAATGTCGATTACATACTGCTTTGGCTTTAATTGATAGAAATCTATTACATCAAACAAGATAATATAATCGATTTACTTTGGTGTTTAGGACCTCCATTAGTTGCTATTTTGGATGAACCAACAACAGGTGTTGATCCAAATGCTCGACAACAAACACATGCAAGAAATATTTTAAAATACTGTTAGAGCAAAATTAACAATTATTTTGACTAGACATTCGATGGATGAATGGTAAATAGGAAGTTTATTTTTCATGATTTACTCTTTCTATATGAATCAGAACTTTCTATACATATATATATATATAGAGAGAGAAGTCTAATATCTTATGTACGAGTTATTTGTGTCAAAAAAAATTTTCTTACTTTGTTCTAGTAAACGTATTTGCAATCGTCTTACTATTATGGCTCATGGTCAACTAGCCTGTCTAGGTACAATGCAACATTTAAAATCAAAATTTCGTCAAGGTTATACAATTGAAATAAAAGTTCGTTCAACAGATAATGATCTAAATGCAACAACAATGCAAAATGTTCAATCATTTTTATTATCTCAAAAACAATATCAGATTGAAGTTAAAGAAACAACACAATCAACCGGTTTATTTCAAGTAGTTGGTAGTACACCAGCTGAACTATTTCAATTACTTGAAGAACATAAATAAATATTAAATATTGCAACATATATAGGGTGTACCAAAATTATAAGACCCCCTTTTATTTTTGAAGTTTTTCCACAAAAACGGACAGCTAGGTAAAATCTAAATAGTGATTTGAAAAGCCCTTGAAAATCTCTATCGAATATAGTATGAGCCAGAATTTCTAAAGAAACTTAGTGAAGAGAGTTTTCCAGAAAAC